TGTGGCGCCAATTAGAGAAGTAGGCCTCATTCTCTTGAGATAACTTTAAAAGCCACCCAAGCAACGGTAGAAATAACTGATTGAGTCTATTCATTTCGGTTGCAAAGACAGATTTTCATAAAATAATTTAGTCTGATTAGTTATTTCGGTTGTTGCTAGGGTGCCTTTGAAGTCACTTTTTTCGTCGGTTGAACTTTCTGAATTACTTATTTTCTTGCTTGTCCGTTATTTCGGTTCACTCATCGTTTTCTGCTGTGCTCAAAGTGATTACCTTCAAGGCTGTAGTTTTCCACTACTAACCAACCAATGAGTCATTGCAAGGAAATACGCGTTTCCTGCAGTACTGCTGTCACATTTGAAGTACCGGGCGAGTGAACATTGGGTTTTCTATAGCATGTAGAATGTTTTTATCAAATCTTAAAGAAACCATGCTGACAGTTTTTTGAAACAGGAGTGCTTTCAGGGACACTGAAACATTTTGAAAGATCGGATATAGTGCAAAATGGGAGGCCATAGGAGAAAATAGCGTAAATAACGCAGGGTAATTTAATGAGGTTTTGCAAAGGTTCTCACTAACTTGAACTGCGTCTCACCTAGTGTGATCCTGTCCCGTGTCTAGCTTCACCTTTTATTTTCGGTCCACATTCTATAGTTCCACAAATCTGAGGTCTGCAACATTAAAGCAGAGAGTGAAACTGTCAATTGTGTTCTCCTTACGTCGGGCCATTTTTTGCAAAGATAGTGGGATATTAAATCCACATTACGTAACCTACTGTAGCTACACAACGCCCGTCCATTAGGTGTATCAGTATACATTGACCGTACAACTCACCAATTTCTAGCCTTAGCGTAAAACTGAGACCAACCTGCACTGGTTATTTGTCGTGTCTGGTGTCATTCTTCTGCCTTTTATTAAGTAGTCCCCGATTTGAACATCTCTGCCAACTTATGCGAGTAGAGGGTTGTTTTTACGTTAGTATAGTTAATATTGGTAGGACTAGAATGTCACGCTCCCCGAGTGACTACCAAAGGACGTTAAAGTAGTCAACGAAGTAGAAGGTAAATATCCAGTCGTCTTCGGAGTCATTAAGTTATTGGAAGACTTACTTATTACAAACAGGTTTATGCACAATTAATGTAATTATTTCGACTGGATAGAAAGTAATTACTTCCCATGTCCTCTCGCTCTGTTTACTGATTCTGTGCCTGAATTTCTAAGAAAGGATAAAATCGCATACGAAGTTTCTGCTGGAGTATGCTCTAGTATTAAGTTGTCCACCCTAACATCTAGTCGGAAACCTTATTCTAGCTCCCTAAACCCTACCATCTAATCGCAAGTAGGTCTGTACTACCCATTACGTCATATGGCAACAAGCAAACAGTGAGTAGGTTCGCTTTTCACTACCATCACTGAAGCCTGTTGGTCTTTTCTGAATATCCAATGTCATAAACCTGATGTCTAAATTTTTACTCGCACTTCTAAGTAATTCTATGGGCTTCATAAACAATTTGAAGGTGATGCGGCACCAACTGAAGACTTATTTACGTCCACGTCACAATTCAGACGATTTTATGTTTTTTAGTCACAAATGACTATCTTTGACCTAAGGGCTTTTACTTTTAACTGAAAAAGCAGTCGAAACATCATCAGGAAATCAACTATACTGTAATCTGCTTTCATTGCCGTATTAGAAACTAAGGTTAAATCGTCTCTTTAGTTGCGTCCTAAGTCATTTGGTAGTCTCTAAATGAGGACAAAATTCTATTTGGTGCATGGTTGGGGTCTCCGAGACTAAAAGAACCAGTGGTTAAGGACTCTTGATGACATGACTGAAAATCGGTTGTAGTGGCACAGGTGTATTCACTCATTGACATCTGAAGCTTGAATATTCGCACTAACCGTTATCTTGTTTATCCTCTCACACAACTTTATCTGCTTTGATATCATTCACTTCCTAGCCATCTGTTCTTTGCGTAATCGTGTGAAGTGTGGTAACTTGAGCCGTTAAATCTGTGTATGATGTTCTACATTGATTTCGTCAGTCTATCAGATGCCGAAATTTATTAAAATATTTTGAAATTGACTCCTATCTTTATATTACGTCGCTGATCACAACTGACTTATGTATCATACCAATAGACGCAAAATTTTTGGTTGAACATTACTGTGACCACCTAGTCGCGCCTTGTTTACTTCACATTTGCTTGTGTTTTTTAAGTGTTCTTAGGTCACATTATGTTTTGATTTGTGGCCAGAAAAGTAACAAGGCCTCAACAGAACATTACAGAACTGCAGGGATAACAGAAAATAAGGCAAACTTGACAGCTCACAGAATTCATCCTTTGCGTCATCCAAACTATAGTCTATGGGTGTATAGGCGAAGATTACGAATAGGCATCGCCTAGTCTTACGATCCTTCTTCGTCCTAATGAATTCATTCAGTCAAACAGCATATTAACGGCTGCTGGCTGGTGTCTAGCCGAGGAGTACACTCTCTTTCTTACAACTCACTGCTATGTCTACACCAGCGAGTCCACGAGAGCTAGCCATTGGATCTCCGAATACTCTTAAGGTGAAAATTCACTACTATGACCAGGTATGGTCAGTTTAATAACCATACTTGGGTCCTGTATATGTGTCTCAGAAACACAGCATAGATACACGGGTAGAGATTCTAGAGTTCTGGCGAGCGATACTTACTGTCCGACTTGACACACGGTTTGAACGTTGAAATCTAGAACATAAAATCGATGATGGGCGCGGTCTTAGGAGACTAGGAGTGAGGTTTCAATGGCTAAGATCGTTGACAACGATTGCGGAGTGAGAGATTGGGTCGGGCGCAGTGTGTGAAGGCAAAGGAGGAGAATAGGTTATGTTTGGTTGCATCTTGTGTACTACTGGAAGCATGCGAGCGGTTGACATTTATCGGCTATCCACACTGTGGAAGGTTATTTTTTCTTAAGGTACCTGAAAGATAAAAAGGTTTGCATGACCACAGAGCCTATGGGACATCTACTTGCGGCCTGTCACATACGATCATTTATGGGATATTGTTTTACAGATGATATATGGACATGTTTACGGAATTATACATGGACGATAAGTTTGTTATATGTTATTGATTTAGGCATTGATTTAAACGACATCTTCCTTGCATTCAGTGACCGTTCTTCAGCCATGAAGTTCAACATAGAGAAGGAATCAAAATCAACCATTCTTTTTCTTTTTGTATTTATCAGCAGACTTAACAACGGTTTCCTTAAAGCATCCATCTACAGAGGAGCAATACAAAATGGACAGCCAACTAGTTTTTATGGTTGGATACCTGTCGGTAGAAAAAGGAGTTTTATTCCTTTTTTTATTCCTATTAACTAAGGAATATCTGCAGTGGAAATTGTATCGATGAAGAGCTTTCGCCTTAAGAACCATGCTTGTTGAAAGTGGTTAACCCTAACCGTTTCACTGATAAAAATATAGGTGGAAACCATACCAAACTGATCACACACTCGATTTCAAAGAAAACTTTGTTCATGGACCTAAACTTCTTGAGTGACCAGGCATGTCATGTACTTCAAACTCATCTTTGTAAATCAACTCATAAAATGTTCGTGGCAAAACTTTAATTGACTTTAACTAGTAGTAAATTGGTTTCCATTTGCGTGAAAGATGATCTCCCTCAACTGACTGCCTCTATGTGCATCTACCCGATCACCTGCTCTTGTAGAGCGAATTCCATAGGCCATAGCCCGTGGAACGATTTTTGCACGTATACGATAGCATGTTCAAGCCTGGTTCCATAAAGAACAACAAAAGGCTGTTACAAGTTTTATTCTAGAACATTCGATCTATTCCTACCACTCAAAAATCCAAACAATTGTTCTGCGAATTCACCCAAACCTCTTACGTTTCCTACCTTTCAACCCCCTGAAAATGGGAGGCTTAAGCTATTCATGAACTGAAGTTTGATCTTTGTGTGCAAAAGAACTACTTGCAGTCCTTGTTTTTAACATTTCTATAACTTTCTTCCCATCACTAGTTTTCGCACTTCGTTGAATAAGTCTTGGTATACTTCATCACTGTCATTGTTGTTATTATTTTATTTTCACTGTGAATATTTTGTTGTGTTATGCTGGTTAGTTTTCTCTGTAATTTTTTGTTTGCTGCGACGTTTCTTATCCTGGTTTGGTATTTTCGGTCGTGATATTTGTGAAAGCTTATCTGGAAAAGGAATAGATTGTACATTATGTTTTGCGTTTTCGCGGACCACGTAACGTAAGGTCGGATTCGATGCATATCCATTGGACCGCTTACTAATTTACCAACTGAGAATGCGATCTTTACGTTATGCGGAGTGCAGGAGAACAGGCCGGCTACTTTCATTTTAATCTCTTCAAAGCGAGTATGCTTTTGTTTGTGCTCCGGTGGGAAATTGGCATTACGGTCCGGTGGCTTGAAGTCGGAGACTGCTGATCAGTGTAAATCGCATTTAGGATAACCGTTGCGTGAAAATCCTTGATGAAAAATCTGCAGACAAGTTGTAGTTACTCCCACCTGTTCATTTATTCACCACGTTTAAGTTTACCCACCTTGCTAACTTGTATACATCCTATAAATGATTCTTTGTAGTACATAATCTAGTTTGTTACCATTCACGTTTCAACTGTTATTATGAGTAAAAGTTATTTCATGTTGATTATGATATTTATTATCTTTATTATATTATGACAATAAGAAATACCATCCGTTTAAGTTCTCAAGAGGTAACTTTTCACTATATATATATATATATATATATATATATATATATATATATATATATATATGAATGTACAACTTGGAAACTAATTCGTTGGATGTCTCCGCTAAATATAATTTTGAAGTCATTTTTTCGTCTTGGTTATTCTGTACCTATTTTCTCATATCTTTTCATTTCCATCATTTCCCTTATCAATGTATATCATAGGTTTAAATCTGGAAAATTCGACAGCTGAATGCGCACATGACAGAGAAACGCCCTGCACGAATCAGAAAGGTTCAAAATTATTCTTTACTGGCAGGTGATAGTGATAATGAGTTTTTTGAAGATTGCGAACCAGTCAAACACAAAAAGTCTGATGATGATGATGAGAAGTCAGCAAGCAAACCTACAAAAGCTAAAAAGAAAACGGTGAAGAACAAGTCGGCAACAATACAGTCTGAAACAACTCCTGCACTAAGAGAGAAACCACCCGAGAAAATCAACGTTGAAGCAAAACAGATTAATTGCATTTCTACAGTTTCCCACTCTGAAACATCCAGACCAACTGTATCACTTTCCAGCCCAAAAACCTTGTCAAAATCTGTTCCTTGTACCCCTGTTCATTCACCTTCACCGCTTTCTAATCTGACTACGCCACCCTCTTTAGGTAAAACCTTTTTCCCTGTCACTCCATCTAGTGGACTACGTCTTGGTTTGTCGCGCACAAAAAAGTCACGACCTTTGCATACAAATGTACGTATAACATAACTTATGGTATTGTTTTGAACTATGTACAGACAAACATTTTAAAATCTAGTTTCACTTCCATCTTGAATTTTTTTCTCTAGACTATTGCTTCTGATATTTTTTACAGCTTACTAACTTTTCGACAAGGTATCCTATGTGTCTACTTTTATATGTGTTATCAGATACATATTTTTGTAATTTTTTCAAAACTAAACATCTACCGTAACACAAACTTGTAGTTAAACCAATAAGTGTCACTTTTGTTGGGAAACAGGTGCTATGTTAAGTATTGTCGGTGGAAAAGATAAAATACATGGATTGAAACTGGACGTACGTAGCTGATCTATGGGTTTATGTCTCCTGTGGTTTACAAGTTTGAATTCTAATTCTAACTGCAAAAATGGGCTTTCATGTTTCACCTTAAGTAAGTGTGTACTGTACCTCTCTATCTCTTAATTGTGAGGTAAATGTCCTTGTTTCATTCGGGTTCCTGCTCTTCCAGATCTTATCCGATTGCCGAACAAGTAGATCTATATAGCAGGAGAAGCTGCTTGGTAATTATACCGTTTAGAAGTCCTCGTAGTGCTGTTTTTTTCGTATAAAATTTAAAAGATGATAATGGGAAAAAAATGGTATCTCTGGTGAATACAAACAACTTTGTGGTGTCTGTTTAATGTTCCATTGGAAATGCTTCATTAAAAGTAATCACCCATGCTTTCGAAACCAGTAGTCCCGATATTTTTGGGTATTTTATTATCTTATAGTCCCTGAATGTCGCATATCGACCTCAAGTCTATCGAAGGCAAGAGAAGAGTCTCCTAATTACTTCGAATAAACTGCTAAGAATATTCGGACTTTAAGTATGTGTAAACCTACTAAGGAAATTTGGAAGACAATTAGCACCAAGCTTAAACAACGTGGACTGCGATTCTTTTAGTTCCGGCAGCCAGTTGTCGAAATCCAGTGTTATCAGAGTAACCGCTGCCAAAACGTGAAGGGTTGTAGACACCCTCATTGACGAAAGAAACAAGTAGCCTTACATTTCATTATATATACCATACCTCAGAGATTCTAAAGGATCGAACCATGTTTGGTGACACTCCCATGACTTGAGCTTAGTAGGGTTATTCATCCGGGGGCTGACTCCACTGAAAGTAACAGGAAGTTAGTATCAGTAAAAGATTCGGTACTGATAGCAATTCAACTCAGAGCTGGTTTCTTAAAGTTGCTTTAGGTTTGGAAGAACAGCGAAACCGGTTGCTTTCCAGGGTCTGTACTTCCGTTTGCTGTGACCCAGCAATCAGGCCAGACTTATCATTGCAAAAAGGCGCTCGCAAGATTAGTGTGGACGAGTCATGTGAATTAGGGACTGTAAGGATTTGCTACACTACTGCCATTAGCCTCAGGAAAGAATTCCATGACCTCTGAATTTATTTGGAAAAACTCGGACAGGTCATAGGAGCCATAGCAGAGGCTTGATTTGAATGAAGCATCGCTGTTATCAACTTCAACCAAATCCGAAGTGTTGGGATTAGAAAGCGCAAGGTGGTAGAGAATTCCTGTGTTTGAGGACTGGTCACTAAGTGCTGTTCATCAATCCTGTGCAGGGTGATAACGGAAACCGCAAGGTTATTAGCTTCAGATTCTCCTGACAAGCGCTCTTAGCGTGATCTATCTAGTCCATACTGACGACCTGATTCCACAGTGTATCAGCGACTGGATAGAGAAGAACCACTCTCGCGGAGCAGAACATTTCTCAGCAGTTAATGTGAAAATGAGCTGCAGTGTCCTCAGCGAGCACACTTTATTCATTCGATGACAGACGGGTTTTCTTTGCTACGGAACATGCTCTGAGAGCAAGTTTGCACAGCCACTTGTACTGGTTCTAGTCAAGAAGCTTCACTGCTAGACTTTGTGCTAACATATGATGTGGACGGTATTTTCACCATAACTATTCTTTCCTCTCTCATACTTTTATATCAATCTCTGTCCACTTGTTTTTCGCATACTGCTATGAAGTGTATCATTCTGAATCAATGTGCATCTATGCGAGGTTCTATGTTGATGTATCTGTCTTATTCGTTAAATTATTTAAAAAGGGGAATAAAGATGTTATTGTTTTCTCTTGAATGAATGGCGAAAATCAAACAAACAGGTAAAGTGACTGTTATTTAAGACTGGTGATTGGTAGTTTATGACCTATGAGATTTTCGAATTTGTGTAGATGACATCAGCAGCTTTATATCTTGGTGATCTTCATTTTACGATTTATATCCAAGTCATCTTCATCTGGTAACGACTTTCTTTATCATCTAAGTAGCTTACATATGCATACATAGACAGGGAGATATTTACACATGGTTTAGCATCACTGCATAATGTTTCACACTATTACACCTCACATCAGCACATCAAGATAGAATTTATTAGGAGAGGTGACAACAAAATGAAAGTATAATAAAGCCAGTAGAAAACAGACAAAAGGAGGAGAGAGCGAAACAAACAACGAAGTATGCTATCGGAATTGGGATGACGCTGAGGTATGATTACGTTCGCACCTCTCCTACTGATTCTTATCCATAGCATCTAGAGTTTTCAACTATCGGTTTAAGGTATCATTTGGACACCTGCATAACTCAAATTTCATGGATTGGTGGCAAATCTTAGTTTAGTAACTTGTTAAGAAAAACATATCATGGAATTAGGCTTAGTTAAGTCTGTAAGTACTGTTATTCGTTATGCAATATATCCTAAACAAGAGCTAGCGGTACACTTTATAAGGTCTGGACTTTCCCTATATGCTTTTTGGCAAGAAACTGTGCATACTGCAGGTTCAAAATCTCAACTCTTGATATCTATCTGACTCAGTCACTTTAGAAGATGGGTAGTAGATAGGAACTGAGCAGTTAAATATCATTCAAAGTGATTATCCCTTGTACATAATGCTACTGATTCATGTATACCTATCGCTGTTTAAAACAGTGTGAAAAAATAATATCCCAACTGTATTTTTTGAAATAAAGTTTGGGTTAATACAAAAGACAATGAATATTTCTGAAACTGTACAAGTGGTCGTCCTCATTTTCCTTGTGCAATAGGCACTGTCAAATTACATTTGAGTGGTTTCTCAAATTTCAGATCAGATTGACTACTCGAAGCAGCTGAAATGACTTCCACTATTGCTTAAGCATCGGTCTGTTCTGTCAGATTCTCAATACAGCAGTAGGTTGTTATGATACTTGTAATTTCCCGTTGCTGTACAGGACCTAATTGCTCTACCTCCGTTGGCAGATGTACTCCTATGCGAATGCCTCGGTACTGCCGGATATTCAAGATGCTATATTCATCTTATTGACTGGCAGTAGGCATCAACTACTATTATTTATTGATAGCTGTTGCAAAGTAGGTGGCTGTCGTTCCCATTGGCCTGGTGGATAATGCTTTGATGTATAAAGCGGTTGTCCCTGGGTTCGAGTCTCAGGGAGGACAACACTGATCGGTACACCCAAATGACTAGCCCTCTAGTAGGTGGAAGTGCGCTTCCTGGATTCTACTGATATTCATTAACATGAATATAACATAGTAGGTTCTTTACCTTTGACAAGTAGCTTATATAAATTTGGACAGGATGATATACGTAAGCATTCTTCCTTGTGTATTTGTTCATCATAACCAAAAAAAGATGAAGTTCAGGTCTCTATAGTTCTCTTGTGACAGATATGTATCGTATACCACTTCTAGTCTTCGTTTTTATGCCGAATTATGGCTGCTTTTCTTTGAAAACTGGAAGTAAACGCAGTTAAGAATATTAAATCTTTCAGTAATTGAAAAATCCACTTTATTTCTATTCAGGTACACATACAAGGTATTCGACGTAAGACTTTTCTTGTAGAAGAAAGTGGTTCTGTTCATTTATTGTAAGGATGATGCAATGTCTAACGAAATTGTCTGAAAATTGCAATTAGTAGTTGATCCACTTGACTTTAATCGCCTGCCCGGTACACATACATACCAAGTTAAAAGCTTGCCAAATCTGTGAAAAATTACGTAATAGGCACTTGCCTTTGGGATGAAGATTTCTTCGTCTATGAAATTGTTTTCTATGCCTAGGTTATGTCACTCAATAATGCAGACTGAGTTTGTCAGTTATCCTTTTTATGTCATCTCTAGATGTGTCTACTAATTTTGACAGTATTCGCTAAGACAGTTGAAGAAGATCCATCGGTAAGACTGGTGTAAGAGCAGGCCAATTCCGGATAATACGATCTAGTTCGAAGGTAGGCAATTAGTCATTACCTACAATCATGCATTGTGAAGTCAATATCATCTTCATGCTAATTAAGGTGAAATTCGCCACTGACCTATGAACATATGGAGTTATTTACTAAAGACTTAGATTATGTCCAATATATTTCATTCTTATCTGCTTTGATGTCTAGTCCAGACAAGAAACTAACAGCTGATAAAGTAAGGTGAAATGATCGGGATTTGATGTATCACTGATTTTGGAATTCTTTATCATTTCAATTCAATTCTGCATCCTTTCTCTTGATTTCTATTTTTTTTCCATCATATTTTGCAATCTCCCTAATGGGGCATGACTATGCCTCTTATACATTACCGAAGTCATAGGAAACAATACAAGAAAACCTGATCCATATGTTCAAAAGAAATACGTTTATTCTCTTTGTCTACCTTGGCCCACAGTTTAGGTCAACACATAAGTTTTACAGTTTAACCTCCCATCCCTTTTCTTTTAGTTTATGTCTCTCATTTTATTGATAAACATTTTCTTATGAGTTTTAAAAGTTCCCATTATGTAAACTAGAACAAGACATATGAACGAACAATAGTATTTTCAAATAGATTCTCTTCGGGTTTTAATATAAGAAGCTAAATATGTGTAGAAATTAAACCAATCATGTAGATTTGTCAGTAGTGTGTATGGTTC